CCTCCCAGCGCGGCCGGGTGGCGTGCGGATCTGCAGCCAGAGGCCGGGAGCCTGGGCTGCTTGGGCGCTGGTTTCGGCTCCCTGCCTTCTTGCTAAGACTTGTACCGGAGCCACGGAGCAGGTTGGGCTTGTGCGTTTGATCTTCCTGCCGCGGTGCCTGCAGCCTCAGCCCCTGCCGCTGGCTGGGGGGGGGAAGGTGTCTCATGGCCCCGTCCCCCCCGTCCGACTGCTGGGGTGGGACGGGCAGGGACCGGCCGTGTCCGGGAGCGGAGGGGAAGGCCGCGGACGTGCAGCCCGCCGAAGCACGTGTGTCAGTTTTTTGCCGTGCCCAAATTACGCGAGGGAGTTGCAGCAGAGATAACGTTGCAGGAACATCCATTCCCACCTTATCTTCCATCAAGAACGCATTACGTTGCCTACATCAAAGTGGATGCTCTGCCGCTTCCCTCCTTGTTGCCCTAATCCTCTACTTTACACTGAAAAAAAAAAAAAATTGGGAGTATTGCTCCACAATAATGAAATCTGAATGCTAATTATCAGCATATTGCCTTCCTTCCCCTTGGAATGCCCTGCCTTCCAGCCCCAAATAGCTTTCCTCCCTCCTTGTTCCTCTCCATCCGGTCCTCCCACGCTCCTGGGCACGCCGTTGAGCCTGGCTTGGTAGAAGTTGTCCTGCAGGATGCTTCCCTGCTTTCCATTTAAGGACAAGAATTCCTCGGGGAGCCAGGGCGTGGAAGGGATCCCTCCCTGCGCCCCATTGTCAGGACTTCTCCCCATGCCTAATTATCGCCTGTCCCTGCAGGAAGCTCCTTGCCTGGCCGTCGGGCAGAGCCGCCGCGTCTCCAGCCCGCCTGCTCCGCAGCCCTTTGTGGGAAGGCTCCGTTCCCCCTCGGGTGCCCGGCTTGGGCTGGGGGAGGGTGCTGGCCCTCGGCGCGGCAGGAGGGCTGGGGAGCGGGGCTGGACCAAGCGCGCCCCTGGTTTTGTTGGTGGGAGCCTGCGCCGGCTCCTTGTGCATGTAGCAGTGGTGAAGGAAGAGGAAGACTCTTTACTTTGGTGTCAAAAAAGCATCTTGTGGAGAGAAAGCACGAAATAAAGTTGTGTGAAAGCGGGGCTCTGCACAGGGGGGGGACGGGCTGGCGTGGCCCCCGCTGCCTGCGCTCGAGCGTGTGGCTAACCTGTCGCCCTCCTCTCTTCCAGGTTCATGACTGGGAAGGGGCTGGTCATCTACCCGGAGATTGGGGATAAACTGGACATTATCTGCCCCAAGGCGGAGCCGTCCAAGCCTTACGAGTACTACAAGCTGTACCTGGTGAAGAAGGACCAGGCAGATGCCTGCAGCACCGTCATGGACCCCAACGTGCTGGTGACGTGCAACCGGCCCGAGCAGGAGATCCGCTTCACCATCAAGTTTCAGGAGTTCAGCCCCAACTACATGGGCCTGGAGTTCAAGCGGCAGCAGGATTACTTCATCACATGTGAGTCGCCCTCCTCTTCCTCGCCGCTGTCCCCGGCTCGGGGGGGCCGCGGGGGCCTGGAGAGTGTCGCCAGGCGCTTGTTCGCAACTTGGCCGCTGCAAAGAGCTGACACGTACGGAAAATATTTCCCACTGGATGGGAGAAGGGGGAGGAATGTGTCGCTGGCCGAGCGGGTCACCGGCCCCTATCCGGCTGCTGTGCTGGCCCTCG